GCCAGTTCCCGAGCAGCGATCGCTGCCCCCCGGCCAACTCCCCCCAGTTTATATACTGAGCCTGACGTCCCATGGTATGGAATATCCCTGTGGCCAGTTTGGGTCAGCTGTCCTGGCTGTGCCCCCTCCCAGCTTCTCACTGGTAGGGCAGGAGAAGCTGAAAAGTCCTTGACTAGTGTAAGCGCTGCTTAGCAACAACTAACACATCGGTGTGTTATCAACATTATTCTCATCCTAAGTCCAAAACACAGCACTGTACCAGCTGCTAGGAAGAAAATTAACTCTATCCCTGCCGAAACCAGGACAAGTGTCCTCTTCTTTCCTCCTGTAAAGGAGCTTTTAGGCAGCCTGTTAAACTTACAGAAAGGTCCAGTAGCTGTGAAAGGAGTTACCACTGCACCAGCTGAGGGGTATTCTTGTTCAGACAAGGAAATTCTCATTTGTTCTAACTCTCTTTAGTATCACTGAGGGAACTGAAGGTACCCTCTGTGGGGTAGTATTTCCAGAGATGGAGAGTGCTAAAAACACATAGGGCCTGAAAATTTGCAAGTGTTTCACACCAAAAGATAGCCGGGTCTTTTAAGGAAGAGATAAGGAAGAAATATTTTCCTTTCTTTTGAAGAGAAAATATAACCGATTATAAGCATTACTTTCATGATGTTGAATACACTGTTTCTTAATCAGATAACTAAAGATGTTATTAAAGAATTTGCTGATGATGGTGTCAAGTATCTGGAATTGAGGAGCACTCCTAGAGAAGAAAAGTCCACAGGTACAGCCTGTTCTGGGTTTTAACTTGTAAGTTTGATGTGCTATAAAACTTAGTTAAGACTATGTTAATAACAAGTAAAGTCAAATTTAGTTGGTTCAATAAAAATATATTTTAAATATAAAAGCAAAGATTTAACCATGTAAAAACATAACACTTTACTGTTAGATTTTCGAGGACAAAAATGTGTTGGTTATAACTCTTGCTACCCAAGAATTTGGGTTATTCGCTTTAGTATGACATCTGAGTCTGCTAATATTTGTAATAGCTGATGGAATTTTCTTTTTGCTACTTCATTTTTTAATTTTCTTTTAGATGTGGTTTAATAGAAACAGATAAGAGAAGTCCTGTTGCTACTCTCTGGTTCACACTAAGTTATTGTCTTTCTTCCAGGTGCTTGGGGGGAGGCTTAATTCAAATGTATGCTTCAAAGTAAAGCTATATTTGTAAACAGAATTAGAACGATATAGATTAGAAGACTATGGTCTAAAATCATAGGTGCAAAATGAAACTTAGGAGGCTAGAGAGCTGGGTCTGCAACACAATAAAATTAATTCAAATATGTTTATTCCAAATGTGTACATGTGTTTGTAGGTATGACCAAAAGGATGTATGTTGAAACTGTACTTGAGGGTATAAAGCAGTGTAAAGAAGAAGGCTTGGATATAGATGTAAGGTAAATAAAGCACATGGAGTACCTCTGTTTCAAGGTTTTGTGTAGTCTGATGCTCGGTCATGGTTTGCGGAGAGGTCTACAAACCATCAGTGTAGGAAAGAAAATTGTGCTTAAACTAGATTACGTGGAACGGAAACAGGTAATTCATACAGAAACGTGAATTTTTATCTTCCTTTTCACTCATAGAGAATGAAGCTGGGTAAAGCTTTTCGGCTCTAAGACTGTCCATTCCCTGTGATGTTTTCAGGAGAAGCAGTGTTTTTGATGGAAATTGCATTAAAGACTCCTTTTTCACAGCCTAGATTCATTGCAAAGATTTTGCTTGATTAGCTGTACGAGCAACCTGCTGTAAAGGAGTGGTGGCCCTAACCAGCAGGAAAGTTTCAGAAGGTGTCAGTGGTTGCTTGGAGGCAGTCTGCTTGCCTGTCTTTCATACTCTAAGTAGCAACCCTTGTTAGATTTATTAGTGGAGGCTGAAGAATTCTCATTCTTCATGTGTGCACCTCTGAGAGGTTGCTTGCCTGATACTGCAGGCAGCAAATGAGCAATGTATTGTTCCCTTCCCTCCCTCTCACCGTGACTATTGCATTTCACAGGCTAACGTATTTGTCTAATTCGTGTCCCTCTGCACTTTGGTGCCTTTGTTCCTTGAACAGTTACAAATATATACAAATACATATTTATACAAATTTATACAAATTTATACAAAATTTGTACAAATACAATCCTATACAAATACTCTTTATACTCAACTGTGAAGGATGTGAAGTGCCACTTTTGTTGGCATCAGATTTGTTGGTCTCCTGATATTACAGCTTGTATTTAACTTAATATGTACATTTCTATCCTAGGTTGTTAATAGCAATAAATAGAAGAGGTGGCCCGGCAGTTGCTAAGCAGACTGTTAAACTTGCTGAAGAGTTCCTTCTTTCCACTGATGGGGTTGTAGTAGGACTTGACCTCAGTGGTGATCCCACCGTAAGTTTTTGTTTTATTTTGGTCTGTTTTTGAAGATAAGTGTGTAACGTTGTGTAACGGCAAGCGGTTCTAATCATACTTTGTCTTATGTGTGTTGCTAGTTTGAATGGATTGCTCGTAATCTCGATACCAGGTTAATCCCTGTGCTGTAAGGGACAGATACTTTAACAAAGAATCAACAGATTAATATATGGCACTGAAAAAAGAGCCACTGAAAAGTAGTGTTTATCTGGGAAACGTCTGTTACTAAATTGTCCCAGTCAGGGTGACTGGGTTGAGGCAAGTTAAATAATATTGCAAGTTGACACTAGTTTAAACTTTGTTTAGATGCACCAAATGCTTATTGCGTATTCAGAAAGCAAAAATAAACATTTGAGGATAGCTGTCAAGTTGAAATGAAATAGCTCTAAGTGATAGTTGTAGAAAGGATATCAAAATCGAGACAGTTGCCTTGTCAGCGTTGGGCATCATCTGAACTACTGACATTTGACCAGTTTGTCTAAATTGTGCCCATATAGCAGAACTTTGTCATTTGCTGCATTCAAAACTGAAGTAATGAGAAAAGAAAAATAATTCAGTGTAACTGTATTTGAATTAAGTATTTTGGTATCGCTAGACTTCTCAATTATTTTAATAGGAGGAGTTTTGTAAAACAAGCTGTAGAATGGTGATGTGTTTCTGTCTTCAAGGCAGGACATGGTCAAGATTTTTT